TAAAATTTGGTGGATTTTTGCAAATTAAGCAAACAGACTTAAACTAAACTCCACCTCATGGTGACTACATAACCTGACATGAAGGCCATTGTTCCACAAAATGAGGACTTTTACTTTTGATACTTGTAAGTACAATACTTCTGTACTTTTACTTGAATACAATTTTAAATGCTTGTACTTCTGAGTATTTTGATAGCGTGATGTATTGCTTTTACTTAAAGCGACAAGAGACAGAAATCTGAAAAATGTTCAAACATGTTAAAACAAGACATCTGAATTTGTAAAAACAACCTTTCTCCTGCAGCTCTTCTCTCTCCTCTTTATGAATCATTTGCAGTTTCACTCCTGACTCAGATGCTGCCCTCCCGAGTGAATGTCCTCCGTCTAGCACATTGTACCACCACATCTCATTTGTTAGGTGAAAAGCCTTGTGACCTAGTAGTAGATGCAGAAGTTTCCTCTCAGATCATTTAAATGATAACACTCTTAAAGGTTAGTGTGATTGTTTGCCTAGTGATGCCCCCCAAAAATACAGCTTATTCGAGCTTTAAATACACTGGACATTTCTCATACGGGAAGCTCAGCAATGTGGTTTGAATGCTTTACCATAATGAAAGTGAAAAAGAAGTAGGTGCCAAGCACATGAAACACAATTCACACGGAAAATGTTGGTCTCTATGAAACCCAGAGGATGACAGTCAAGTATAAATAGAGAGATAAGACGGTTAAATACAAGAATGCAATGCCAAGACAAGTCTGCTAGATTTGAAAGGGCTCAAAATTAACTGCTTTGTGGCTTTTTGTCAGAAACAGACAAAAAAAAACCCCCCGAAAGAAATCCCTGAATCCAACTCTGCCATAACTGGTGAAGCGAACACAGAACAACTTGGCCTCACTAGACTTGCTGCGGTGCTCATTTCTCACAGCTGCATTAGCGTTTCTTGACCAAAAGGGGGTAGACGTGGACAAACTAAGGCCAGACTGACCTGAGGTGGATATCTGAGGCAGCCTTCTGCTGAACACTGCTGATAATGTCACAAAAGCAATGATGTAGAACATCTGCCAAATGACCTTGATGCTCTTTACTCCCATTCTCACCCCGACGCCGTTCCAACACTCTGACCTCAATTCAGCTCAACCAGAACCATTAGGGAGCAATGTGCCAGATAACATGGGCCAACAAAAAGTGTTCTTCGACAGTGTTTGTGTGGCTCGCTGTTGTGTCCAGAGGCTACCGTTGTGTGGATGCGGTGCCTGGCACGGTTGATGCATTCTGCTGGGTTCATGGGGTTTCTTGCAAGACCACATGCTGAATGGAGGAGGTACAGAATGGAGCATCTGGGCTCATGGTTGAACAATGACTTTGTGGATGAGATAGAACGAGCAAGGAGAGAACCAGCAAGAAGAGAGAGAGAGGGGAAGAAGCAGTTTTTGTGTGAGAAACACAACAATTGGAAAAGTGAAAGAGTTTGTGTGTTTGTGCATATGCCAGGCAGAAAAACACAAGTAGAGAAGAAGTCAGTTGACAGGCAGAAAGTAAACATATGAAATATTACGACAGACAGCACAGTAGTAAGTTGTGTCTAACAATAGATGCAGAGAAGAAGGGATGATGGAGAGAAATCTCATGAAAGACTGAGAACCCAAGAAGCCCAGGCATGAAATCATTTATATTGCTCTACCGCTGGCGCAAATAGTGTATATTTACTGGCAGCCATTGTAATAAACATTAATCACAGAATGTCTTGTCTGTTACAGATGGCCTGACCTAAATTACCACACTGTAAATCATAGAAATCCCTGAGCAGTTGGTAAATATTTCCTTTATCCACACAATTTAATTTTCATAGTCAGGGTCAGAGGCATCCTCTTACAGTCAGGCTTTGTGTATTTCAGCTACAACCTTAATATAATATAGGTCCTTTCATATCCTGAGCCCATAAAACTTATTTCGAGTGTTTAAAATAATTGCATGTTTTATGTATTGACTCATATATTTATGTTATGAAGGCATGTGTGCCAACGCACACAAATGCATGCTGTCACTCCTGTGCAGCCTCACCTCTCGCTCTCTCGCTGTAAAACAGAGACAGAAACACACACACACACACACACACGCACACTCTCGTCCTACCTGTCACACACACACACACACACACACATTTTATCTAAATGTAGTGCAGCATTAATTCTACAGCAGATGAATGAGTGTTTTCGGTGTTGCTTCCCCCCAGGGAGTTGTGAGCAAAGGGAGAGTGTTGCTATTTCAGCTGCGGTGAAAGAGGAGGGGGAGGCCAGCTTGGGTCTGACCGCAGAGAGAGGGCCGCTGCTGGGGTCGTGGCTGGGGGCCCTGCTACTGACCCAGGGAGCAGACAGTAAACCCTGGGTTTATGGAAGTTCAGTGTGTGGTGGGTCCCCAATGTGAGAGCTCTTGTATCACATTTGCAGAAGTAGGTTAGACAGAAGAGGGCTTCATTCTGTCTATAGTCTCCAGCACACACTGATCTGGTTCATCTTAACTAAGGGCAGAGGTGCAAAGCAACGAAGTACAGTTAGTCTACGTACAGGTAGTATACTTTTCACTGCACTATTTACACTGGAGCTGACAAAATACAATGCATTCTTAAAGATTAAACCAGTGGTCAGTTTTGGCTTGTGAAGAAAGAGAGCTGTCTCCAAGTTGCTACAGACTGTTTGTTTGGACTAATTGTTTGAAACTCATGGAGGTCAGATTTTCCAATATTTCATCTAAAAGCAAAGATTTGAGAAAACTCCAGCCACCACAGCAGAGCTACTTACGCATTATCAACCTAATAAACTACGGAATAATATCCTAATTACACATCTGTTCATGTGTAGAGGTACGTTTTGCTCAGAACCTTAAGTCAGATTATTAATTTATTACTTTATCCTTGTGCTATTGATAGTTTTATTAAAATGATTTAACTACGTTTCCGCCACTGACAAGGAGATTCTTATAATGCAGACGGTATTGTATCAGCATGCCCTATCCTCACCCCGCAATTTATCAATTCACGTCTCGCATGGTGTCAAGCAATCATGCTGAATCTGAAATATGACAGAGATTATAAACCTTACGAGGTCGAACACATCCTCATGTGACGGAGCTCTCTATGGACGCAGCCCTTGATACACTTGATGTGTATAAGAGCTATGGGGGATAAAAAAAAATAAGCAAAACAAAAGCATAAATATATCAAGGAGTCATGGAAACGAGGGAGACAGAATAAAATCACTGCCGGCACATGGGCGACTTGGCCAGTGTTTGGTTTATTGTGTTTGTCAGGTAAAACACAAGGAGATTGTGTGTGTGTCCCCCTCAATGGAAACTAAGTCTGTCTTGGGGGCAAACGCGCTGAGGCCTGGTGATTAGCTACTGTTTCCACATGTGCCATGGCTACCAGTGAAAATGACCAGATGACAAAAGACAAAACCTGCCTGTTTCCATTATGGAATCCGCTCTGTGTTGCCATCGAGAGAGGGGAAACGGTGACGACAGGTTCAGGTTTTGGAATTAACAGAGAGTCGGTTTGTGTTTTAATCCCCCCAAGGAGTCACCTGTGAACAGTTAGACTCAGGAGGAATGGGGCCACTTCTGCTTTCTGCTGCCGGGCCCCACAAAGGAGGATCTGGTTTAAGTTAGTGTATTTTTTTGACCAAAATCAGTTGTCAGGTAACGTCAGACAACCAACCTTTTAGTGCAAGGATGCTATACAATACAGATGTTGTAGGAAAACCACAAGTCTTTCTTAGAATTCATGACACAAAGTGAGGATCCAGGGTCATAAGAAGCTCATTACTATAAGTCTCTGCAGGGATGTCATATCTGGAGACTTTCTGTGAATTATAAAGTCTAACTTTCTGAGCACATCATTGGAGAGGGAAAAAAAAAATCTATTATGCTGTACAGACCCAGTACCACGGACAGACAGAGGTCTTGGCATGAACTAGTGGGCTGTTTCCAACCTTTGGAGAGGCGTGGTGAGGGGCGGCACTCCCGGGGCGCAGCCAAGTTGAGGATAAAATGTGGATAAGTGATGTTTTAGCGGCTTTGGTGCAAAAATCCCGAAAGAAGAGAGAGAGCGAGCTTCCTTTTTTTTTTGAAACTGATCAAAACCGAGTGAAGCGACCGCACCGTCTATGGCAGCCAGCGACAGTCCTCGGCGCTCCACCTGAGCTCTGCTGCTTCACTTTGAAAGCGGATTTTTTCCTGTCCCGTTCTTGCTGCAGAAGTTTTCTCACAGCCAGATCTCTATAAAGGATCTCAAGAAGTTGGCTCCGTTCCAATTCATTAAAGGTAAATTATTTCCAAAGTCCACATTAAATCACACGACTCTATTTCTGTTTCAATAGGCATTACTCTTCACATTTTCCATTAGATATTGGCTCGTTCCATCAGCCTCTGTCAGCGCTGCTGCCTGCATACCAAGAAGTTCAACCAAAGTGTATGTTTACATCCAGCTCCATTATGCATCATTCTGTGTCCTGAACTACAGTTATTATAGCTGCTGCACTGCTCACTGGGATCTGAAATGCAATGTTTATTTTTCAACAGCTTCTTTTTTCAGTTTCCCTTTTTTATTTGGATTTAGGGGGAAAAAGCTGTAAAATCCTCAAGGAGGCTAAATACTGGAGTTGATTTTTTTTTTTTTTAATCCACACTTAATCCAAAGGAGTCATTCTCAGTCTGCCAGTTTAACCTCAGTGAACTCTGTGAGTTTACCTGTGGCACTGCACCAGACCAACAGTCTGCAAACCGAGGCGCCCTCCTCTCCAACTTCCAAGACTGTTATGTTGTTATTCAGCAAATTCGGTAGAGAACACCAATTCAAATCCTTCCAATAATCCTATTTTCTCTTTTCTCTCAGGTCCTCTGCCAGCTCACATTGTTGACATAGGAGAGTATCTGTGCTGGCACACAGCTTTTTTTCCCACCCATCCATCCCCTCCTGAGTTCGCTACCAGCAGCATTTCCAAGGATGAGGCGTGTGTCTGTGCGCTGGCTGAGAGGCGTGTCCCTGCTCCTGCTCCTCCAGACGACAACATCCATGATGATGCTTCCAAACTCCACCGGCTGGCAGCAGATTTTGGACAAGTATCTGGACGAGGACGGAGACTGGTGGGAGGCCAAGCAGAGGGGGAAGAGGGCCATCACCGACAGTGACGCTCAGCTCATCCTGGATCTTCACAACAAGCTCAGGAGCCAGGTTTACCCTCCCGCTTCCAACATGGAGTACATGGTAGGTGGACGGAGGGGGGCTGAGGCGTTATCAGTGCATCTCTGGGTTCAATTACCATGAAGTATTGCATACGTGCTTCATACATTTTACATGTGCTAAAACATTCTGACCCTACACTGAACTCTCCAGGAGTCGTGCACGCTTGTGGGCCATATAGCTTAGTGAAATGACCCAGTCACCAGACTGCCTGGCACTTGTCCCACTTGGCTCACGTATGCAGCATGCCAGCATCTAAGCACCTTCACACATGAACCCACACACACACACATAACTTTGTACCCATGTGACTTTGGTTGTTTTGCCAGAAGAGAAGAATTCCACCAACTTGCCAATGATCACATTTCTACAGCGTTTTTTTTTTTTTTTTACTCATGCTAAGAGATTTGTTTGACTTTATCCTTTGGCCATCACGTGTATGTACAGTGCCAGATCACTTTTCACAGTGCAATTAGAATCAGAGCACGGCACCAGGGCTTGTTTTACCAGCTGCCTCGCCCCCCCCCCACTAAAGACACACACATACACACACGGGCATACCACACCTTCTGAAACTTAGTGCTCCGCGGATCTGGAACGTCTCCAGATACACTACATGTGTAGGCACAGCTTGACCGCTACGGTGCCCTGCCACCAACAGTACATCGGAGGTTAAAAATCAATTCAGTGTGCGAAAGGTATTGAAGTTTTATCGTCCTTTCATCCCCACTTAAAGAGCTACAGAACAAAAGGCAGTATTATTCTGTGGTAAAGGCAAATAAACAGTTCCTGCTGGGGGCAATTGCTGGACTGTGTAATTGTATAATTGAGAGGTTGGACTTGAGGACCCCTTGTGTGTGTGTGTGTGTGTGTGCACGTTGTATGTAGTTGTGTGTGTGCAGCCTGGCAGGCTTCTGGTTGAGGCACACGCGAGTGGAGAAATGCTGAGCCAGCAGCGCACAGCTCTTTTCTACTGTCTCCTGTTACAGTTGGCTTTTTTTTTTTTGAGCTCCAGGGGCACCCAAGGGTGAAATATGGAGAGACATGCAACAAGAGGACGTGAGGCAAGAAAAAGAGAGTGAAAGTTAGCAAGGAATGCAAGGTAAATAGAAATAGAGGTGTAAGATGATAAAGGAGCTTTGCAAATAGAAAGAGGAGGCAGTGTGAGACGGGAGGAGGGAGAGACGGCATAGCAAAACAGGTGTCAGAATAATTGAAGTGAAGACAAAGAGGTGAGGCCGGAGAAAATGAGAAAAGAAAGACAGAGTAAGATGAGACAATGACTTGCAGGAAAAAGCGCCGAAATTTTAAAGTGCAATTCTGTAGACGTCAGTATCACAAAACTGTCGGGTCACATGTAGAGCGGATACTCAGTGATTTATTTACTCTTTATTCTGAATGGCGCTCCACATTTCTCTGATTTTTCCCTCTGTCTGTGTTGAACTGCTGTCACCTTTCAGAAACCTCACAGCTTCACTGTACTGGAAGACTTCATAGACATGCTCGCCTGCTCTGCTGACACACTCATGCATGCAGATGTGCACACACACACACTCACACAAATCCTTGTGCACATACATAACCATTTGCCCATCAGCTCTGTTATTGTGTGCCATTGTGTTAAACCATAACCCGAATGACCCTCCGTGGCAATCATCACAGAGACTCCGAGATAACATCAATTCAAATCCCCCCCCCTCTTTCCTCCCCCTTCATCTGCTTCCTTTTCTTGCCCTCTCTTTCTGCCTCCCTCTCTCTTATCCCTGTGGCTCCGTTCCCATTCTGTCATTATCCAACACAGAGGCCCCAAAAAATTTCCCGGATAAGCATTCACACTATGTAGCGATCCACGAAGCTTCAATGCAGCTTCAGTAGGAGGGACAGGAGCTTTGCTGCTCACTCAAATGTTGACCCACAGGTATAAACAGAGAAGTGTCAGCGTTTGAAGCCCTCTAAGACAAACAGATGGCATCTTGGGAGAAAAGGGCCCCACCTGCCTTAATGTTTAACTTGGCTTTTGCTGACCTGCTCTCAGTGGTGATGCGAGTGATTTATGTTGAAACTCTATTGATATTTTTCCATCCGGGATGAATCAGAACCATGCTGCAAGCACCAGCCGTTTTAATTTATTGCTGGATAATGTGACTGATGTGATTCACAACCTGTGTGGCTCAATGAGACAATAATTAGATCCAGACTAATAAATTTGCCTTGAATTAGCTTCATCTAAAATGCTAAATTATGGCAACATGGGCAAGCATGTGAAACAGGGTTTAGACAGCATCAATGGGAGGAAAAACTGCTTCAATTAATAAAATTCTTGCAAAAGAATGAGCAGGGCAGTCCATTTTAAAAAAATTTTATCTCACCAACTTTCTGCAGCTTCACCTGCAGGATTGCTGAGAACTCACAGGTCCGGCGGGAGATGGATTATTTCCGATGTGTGTCGGTTCTGCCCTCAGCTTTGTTCCGCTCGTTATGTCCAGAGGTATCTGACAAAAGGTGCTCAAAACACATCCACTGTCTTCTGTAGATGCGAAGAGCAGCAGCTGGATGCTATGATAACAAAAATGTAGATTCTCTTAAACCACTAACAGTATTCCCCATCAGACTTTAACCACTTGTGAAGCCTAAAGGACAACGGTACCCCATAACAGCAACGATGCCTAAAGTCACATTGTGTACTCTTCCTAACTGGCTGTGAATATTACAAACAGGAGCGAGGAACACCTTGTGGGACTGAACCTGCTTAATGTAGTTCCAAGAGTGTACAATTGCTCTCCCTCTAAATGCACCTACTATTAATGGGTTGCAATAGAGCCTTCCATAAATACTTCAGGGAAAACTTTGTCGAGCAGCGAAACACTAATGACTCCAGTGACTCCTCAGTTGTCTGTGATAGGATAGACAGCTTCATGCCCATTGGAATGGAAACGGCATCCCCTTGACCTGATGCCTGTTAGTTATCCATTCTAACTTTTGGGATGGCTTAACTTACCGAAAACACTTTCTGCTTCCAATATTTTAGAGTATGAACTAAACCCTTACTGGCACATGAAGGTAACGCTCCTGTGGCCTGCACGTCAAACCCCATGTCTTACATCTCTGCCACCCATCCAGAGGAAATTTCTCTTGGGTTTCGGAGTTCATCCAAATGCTCTGTCATGAGCTGAGGCCAACAATCCTCTACTTTGACTCAAAACTGTCTAGTTAAAGGCTTTCCTTCCTTTCCTGACTCATCAGCCTTTTCCAAAACTCTGTAGGATAAGTCATCCTCCAGAGACTCTCCACACTCCTTGTCCTATGTGGGTTTTCATTGCTTCGGTTCCAGCTACAGTTTGGCCAGTTGATAATTCTGGGCTGATTCTGAAATCGTCTGTGCCAACCACTCTCTGAAAAGGCCTTCTTCAGGTCCTCACTGCTTGCATCCAGCATCAGTACCTCAGGCTGCAGCATTAGTCTTTGCACAGCTGTAGTTTACAAGAGATATTTTGGCAGCCAGTGATGCTGGCAGGCTTATATGAACTAGTTAGTGAGTTATTATTATTAATATTAATATTGCCAGGAATTACTGGAATCACTGGCCAATAAAAAATGTCATTTGAACCATCTATCTGTCTGGCTTACTTTTGGTTTTGATGGCTACCTCAGCAATCTTCTGTTCCAGTCAATCTGTTCTTTCTGCCATTTCGCAAATGCAATTTACTGATCCTACCATAATTTGATTTGCTGTCAAACTATGTTCCTTTCATACCATGATAATTGTATGGTCAGCCGCAGGACCTTTGATATGAGCTGGGGTAGAATGCACTGTATGAAAACTGCATACTAACTAACACAGCGGGTATCACTGTTGGTATAATAGCAGGCACACACATCGACACATAAGGACTACACTCACTTTTTCTTAAATTTCCATTTTTTTCCTTTTCTTTATTATTGATTTTTGTGCCTACCTCTATCCTTTGTATGTGATTAAATCGCCAACCCTGTGTTCTCACAACATCGTATCAGCTCTTCTCCTGTGTTTGCCTCTGCTCCACTTTACCAATTCCCATATCTTCCCCCTGCCTTTCAGTATTTCTCGGCATGCACCATTGATTATGAGCAGGAAACCCATACTTGCAAAGGAAGTAGCCCTCTGTACCCTTGGAATGCAACCAGATGACCAAGGAAGAAAAAAAACCCGGCCGCAAATGAAGTGTTAAGCGAAATAAACAATGCAGTGTGCACAGCGCTGAAAGACTTTAGCAGAGGAGGTGTTTTTCTTTACGGGCCCCGCAGAAGTGCGGTTGGAGTAGGTGGGTGGGGGCACGGGTGGGGGGGTTTTGTGGTTACAAGGCCTCCCCTGCTGGGCTAACTGTGCAAACAACAGCAGCTTGACAAGCCGGCTGTACTCTGTACAGACTCAACAGCTGAAAAATATGTGTCTCGGTCGACACTTTCGGAGCCTGCTTGCACTTCTCAGCATAAAGGATTTCTCAGGTGGAAGGTGCTGCTTGCATTTATTATTATTCTATTTCAAGGACATGACAAATCAAATCTTTGTGATACAAACCGTCATCTGCGACGTTCCCCTTCAAGAAGCTGCAGCCAGAGTTTTGGTATTTTTTGGCTGGAGACCTATTGTAGTTGTGGTTACAGTTGAAAGTTTTCAGGCCAATAACCATTTATTAAGGATGAAAAACATACAAGAAGTCCAGAACGGCTTGTGTGCTGAGGTTTGCACATCGTTTTGTGGTTGCCACTACTCAATGCATTTCAATCTGCTTATCAGTGGAAGAGACTACTCGAGATAGGTTATCGCTTCCTGGCTTTTTTTCTGTTTTCTTCTGCTTCTGATGATGAACAGGCATAAATCTCTTGAGTGTTTCCGTTTCAGCGTTGCTCGCTATTGTAGTGGCAAAAAAGGGATACAAAGCAGATATGACAATCCTGATACAGTGACATTTATTTGTAGCTCACTGCCAACAGAGGTCACGGCTGAGCAGAGACAGAGTTTCAGGTAAACAAATTCTAATTCTTGTTTTAGCTCTGGCTCTGTCAGTCATCATCTGGCCTAATTGTACAAGAGAGACCACAGGCAACTACAGATGAGGTTGCTCCAACACTGACATGATCCTTCTTTGTAGGGGTAGAGATGATTTTTTTTTCAATGCATTTTATTTTATATGCCAGTTATATAATATTTCTACAACGATTGGTCTTAAACTGTGATATTACACACTGTGTCAGGCAATATCACGTCGGTGTTGTTGTCTTAAACCAACATGTCCGCTCAACGGCCAACAGGATTCCCCGAAAACAGCTGAAGAAAGTACTCAGAGCTAAGGGTTAATTTGCAGTGCTGCCAGACATCCTGTTGTTAGGTAGGTGTGTGTTTCGGGAGTTGTGCGGAGAGCGGCAGTTGTTTCTGGTGGGACCGAAAGTGGGTGACGGACGATGGAGGAGGAGGTGGTGGTGGAAGCAGGGGAGTTATTTTAGTGTCTGTTATTGGATGAGATTTCACTGAGGGTAAGCTGAATTCCAGGACCCAATGTGTGAAATGCAAAAACTTCTGACACCTTCGCTCGTATACTAATACATGTGCACACACACACACATGCACACACACTGCAGACCCACAAACTAATTGACTTTCCTGTAGAAACCTGTTATATTAGTCATCCCACACTGAAGGTGAAAGTAAAGGTGTGCAATTAAAGGAACATACAGTGTCCTTCAGAGGAATTACAGCTGGTGTTATTCTAACTTTTTTTTTTTTTACAGTAGAATGTAGGTCAGCAGAGAGGAAGGACACTCTTTAGCATTCCCAGAAAACCCCAGAATGGGAATATGATCCTTTAGTATCCAACCAAAGCCAAATTTGACTGAGAGGGCAATTCAGAAAGAGAGAGAGGTAAAGTGAAACAAAACCTTGCACCCAGTCATCTCACCAGAGACATATGGAAGGTATTACTTAAGGAAAAACAGCTTTTGCATTTTTTAAATAACACCCAATCCCACGGGAAAACCCATCCGGGAAAAGTCAGCTGAGCAGCAATAAGAAAGAGCTCTACAGCAGCAACACGTTTAGAGATCAGTTGAGCTACTTAGTGGCTCCTAGGCCCTCTTACTTATCATGATATCCCGTTCAATATGGGTTTAATTAGTCTGCCATCTTACACCATATTACTGACCGCAGAGCCAATATAACTGTAAATATCTTGAGTTACTCACTGACAATTATCTATCCCGATATTGCTGCATCTCACAACCCATTAGTAGCAATATCAGTAGCTTTGAATTGCATTGCATCCGTTTTTTTTCTTACCAGAAAACTAACAAATATTGCTTTTGTCTCTTACCTCCTGTGCAGGTGTGGGATACAGAGTTGGAGCGTACAGCAGAGGAGTGGGCAGAAACCTGTCTGTGGGAGCACGGTCCGGCCAGCCTTCTGCCACAGATTGGACAGAACCTGGGGGCACACTGGGGAAGGTAAAGAATCTGTCAGTATAGACCATTTACACATGTAGACTCATGTTTCCCAAGTGTTATTGTTACAAACATGTCGCTCATTTGAAGTCGGCATGTTTAAGGTTTTTAAATAGGGATGCAAATTTTACTTGTACTTTCTTAACTGATAGTTGGCAACCTTCTTAATTAATATATTGATTAATCAATACCATGAAATGAATTCAGTAGATATTGTTCGAACCACTCTATATACAGTCACAGGTCAATCCAAAGGCCGATGTCACATGACAAAAGATGATCGCAATCAACCTTTAGTTAATACTAAAATTGTCACCGCAAACCTCAGCTTACCTTTAAGAGGAGAGTTCTGGTTGGAGGTCATTAACCTCCACTGAAATCTTTGTTATGGTGTCCATTGCTAGCTAAACCCCCACAGCGCACTCTGCTGGCCAACATGAAATGCTCGTAGTCTGAGTGACTGTCTCCTCTGGTGGCTGCGGTATTGAGCAGTAAGAGACTCCACCTGGTGGTACAACCAGGTACTACAGCTAAACAACAGCACATTTTTTGACATACATGACTTTCTTCTTCTGCCTTGTCAGTTAGTATATTCTTAATCGGTTAAATATTAACAGAAATGAACGATTAAGCATTGACATCTTTGTTATGAAGAATATTCAGATAGTAGATATTCAGAATATGAATATATTCATATATGAAGAATAGCTACCCTGTTTGCCATGAGCTGCTTTTACTTTTAAAGACCAATTAAGTGATGTAAAATGCATAAAATCCACTCATTGTGCTCCCCATGAAACCTAAATTTCTTGCTCGATACATGGCTGAAAAACACTGCATCACACAGCACACTTGACAGCAACATCATAATACACTTTTACGCAAACAAGCTACTTGTCCTGCCTAATTTCACGGGGACAGCAGTTACAATTTTTGTCAAGCTTCTCAAGTAAAAAACATTATTAAAAGAACAAACAATGCAAACAATATATAATAGGTCAATTAGGAAGCTAGCTTGTTTGCTAAGTGTGCTGTTTAAATTTATTTATGGTGCTAATAAGCAGCAAGAAAATGTATTGAAATTCATTCTTTACACTCCACATGCAAGTATTACTTGTCTAGTCATGTATGGATAAAAAAAACAACAACAAAGAAAACCCCAACATATCACACTTTATCTAGTGGGGTATATTGTTGCGTAGCTAAAGCAAGAATATTTGCAGACTGTGCTGTTTTGCCCAATGTGAACAATATTGCTCTAAAAAATATCCACTCATTACAGTTTTTTGGTACAATTTCACTCAAGTCCTAATATCAAGGACATTCTGATAGCCTGTGAATTTGCTACATTTGCTAAACAACCAGCCGCGAGCATTTCATTTAGACAACCACCAGCAATATTTACCTGCTGCGTAAGCACCTGTGAGCCAACAAACATATACCGCTGCGTATACGGCAAGCGGAGCCACACAGACAATGCGTGCGCTTAGGTGTTCTGTTTATCCTCTGTCTCCCATAGAGATAGAAAACAGCACTGCTTCACATGAGAGACTCTCGTTCCACATCTAATCATATCACTCCACAGTCAAGATGTCTGCTTGATTCTAATCAGATTAACTAGCAACACCTGGTGCCAGATCAGTGTCCTTGGTTACAGAGCACAAAGGCTTGATTGCCACTTTGAGCAGTCTTGACGGATGTGTTACACTGGTGTGTGGATGGTAATTACATATGTCTGTTGTGTACCTGAGCATAGTGTAAGTTACTTCATGTTTAACACACGAATGCATTGCTTCTCGCACTAAGGGCCACATATTATACAATATGCATGTGTTAAATCATTTAGAGACTAGTCAGAACTTGCATTAAGCACTGTTAGGCCAGCACCCACACTAACCGAGACAAAAGAAATGTTTGGAGCATTGTCATCAAGGGTATGCTCTCTCCAGGTATCGCCCACCCACGTTCCATGTGCAGGCTTGGTATGACGAAGTGAAAGACTACTCCTTCCCCTACCCTCAGGAGTGCAATCCCTACTGTCCCTTCAGATGCTCCGGCCCGGTTTGCACACATTACACACAGGTGGCTAGATCTGAATCATACCCTTTGAAGATTTTAGTTAATTAAATCCCATTTTTGTCAGTCATTTGTGTTTCATTGTCCGTCTTGATTGTCATTCTTTTGTAGCTGGTCTGGGCCACCAGCAGTCGGATCGGCTGTGCCGTCAACGTGTGCTACAACATGAATGTGTGGGGACAGATTTGGGCGAAAGCTGTTTATCTGGTCTGCAACTATTCACCAAAGTAAGCTGTACCAACTGAATCACAGGCTGCAAGAGTAACGAGGATCCTTAATATGAACCCATGTGTCAATTTGATGTGACATAGCACAGTGTCATTATAGTTGAATGTTTTCTATGTACTTGAAATTAAATCAGCATGGTTTTTCAGTTTTTTGTAATGTTTCTGTTCCATAATCCTTCCTTGTTTTGTCACTTGAAACAGGGGAAACTGGTGGGGCCATTCACCTTACAAACATGGGACCCCGTGTTCTGCCTGTCCTCCCAGCTATGGAGGAGGATGCAAGGACAACCTCTGCTACAAAGGTATGCACGAGCCACACAGAGATGAACGGAGTAGGAAAGCTCCGGGGAACAACTGCTTATCATACCTTGTTTTTGTTACTTTAGTTGAAGATGACAGTTCTTACCCTCCGCAAGAGGAAACAGAAGAAAACAACTTCATTGAGCCGGAGGCCCCCCGCACTACGAAGCCCCGGTCCCGGGCCTCCAAGCCTGAGCCTCCCAGTCGCCCCGCCCCAGCCCCCACCAAGCCCCCCACAGAGGACCTGCAGAAGAATGAAGTGGTCAACACACAGCAGATGTGTAAGCTGCCATTTAAATGTTTATTCTGGGTCTAATTTCATCTCAAAATGGGGCAAGGGGGGTTGTAGGATTTGGTTTTAGGAGTGGGAGCGGCACAGAGTGGAAATACAGCGCAATATGTACTGTAAAGAAAACTTTGCTCTTGAAAATTGGGTCAAAGAAATTGAGAATAGCTTCTCCTTTCGTGTTGAGCAAGCAATAAGGGATAACAAGTGTAAAAAAAATAGATCTTGACCGGAAATATTTTTCTTGCAATTTATCTTAAATTGCCTTGATGTTCTGTAGCCTTTATCTGTCATCTCCCTGATTAACCCTGACAGTTTCTGAAGTGTAGTTAATATTGCAAGTCACTCTTTGGAGCAGGGAGGGGAGGTCTATTTTAGCACCCTGAGTGTGTGTGTGTGTGTGTGTTTGGTTTTGGCTGGCTGAGAAGGGTTGGGGAGGGGGGCGGGGGGCTCGCTGTGGTTTTTAAATGGCTTCCTCTCTGCAGCACATGGGGCCTGTGCTTGTAAGATGAGACACTTCCTCCAGTATTGCTGACCACCCTGAACCTTGTTGCAGGAATTCTTGTCTTTGGTTCTTGAAGCATCACAACACTGTCTCCGCTGGGTTTTTGCTCAGCTCAGCCTTTTAGGGACTAGTCATCTGCATCGGAGCTGCTGGTTCATGCACGCTGCTTCCTGTGTGAGCACTCAACGGCCTTTGTGTGTATGTGTTTCAGCTCAGCTGGTGACCTGCGACACTAAGCTTCGAGATCAGTGTAAAGGAACACCATGCAATAGGTACAGAGAGGATGAAACATCATTTTAAAAAATAATAAAACATAATAAAGAATGCACAGTCCGTCTTAACATGGTGGTTTTTTTGTTGTTTGCATTCATCTACAGATACGAGTGTCCAGCTGGATGCCTAGATGCTACAGGGAAAGTAGTTGGGACGGTGTACTATGAAATGGTGAGTAAACACGTTGACGGTCTGGACGTTGCTGGGTTCAGACTACACAATATTTTTCTCAAAGATGGTCACTGTGTTAGATTGGACGACTATAAAGTCATAAATTCTTGTTGTGACTTGGCCAAGAGATATGATAGATTGTACAGTGGTCTCTGGTCACTTTTAGCTTCTTTCGCAACCTGCATCATCAGGAGCAACTACGAGAAACAATCATTTCAAAAACAGTGGCATCCAGAATTGTCTGGCTGCCTAGAAACTGAAAAAAAAGTGTTGTCTGTCCTCTAGTCCATTTTTCACTTTGCTATGTTGTGCACAGAAGAACACTCAATTGGTCAATGTTATGGAGGCACAGTGGAAGATTTAAGAGAAGGTAACAAAAGATGTGGACACCTTAGTCTCTTTGATGGGATGTCGTGAGGCATCCAAGATGCAGCATCAGTTATTGTCGACCATGCTGCACTACACAGGATAAAATGATCAATTGCCATGCCTCACACCCACTGTTGCTCCCAACTCCCAGTGTCTTTTGGGTCAATCTGTTTTCATGTTGATATTGTGCACTCTGAGCTTGGCCTAACCCATATTCTGAAGTCAGAGCTGCCACTGCCAAATAACAGCTTGATCAAAAATCCCTTTGTGTAAACCACATTGTAACTTTTTAACTGCTACTTCAGAAAAATTCAGTTTAGTTCAGTTCATTTTTATTTATGTAGCACCATACGATAACACGATAACACAAGTCATCTCGGGTCAAAAAACTTACAATTCTATGCAGAGAAACCCAACAGTTCCCCCTCGAGCAAGCACATGGGGACAGTGGGGAAGAAAAAAAAATCTCTTTTATCGGGAAGAAACATCCGACAGAACCAGAGTCAGGTTGTGCGACCATCTGCCTCGACCGGTTGGGGTGAGAGGAGAGCGGAGAGAGAAAAGATGAGCGTTGAGAAACAACAAACAAAAAACAGTGTGCAGGTCAGCGAGGCCAGTAACCACAGATCAGAAACATGCTGCTCTAGTGTCAGAGATGCCTGCAGGAAGGTACAAGGGGAGAGAGGACAAAGAATATAAAAGGAAATGTCAACTATGTTGTCAATAAAAATGTTCCTTTTTGCAGCAATCGAGTGTGTGCAGAGCTGGTCTACATGCTGGTGTCATAGATAATGATGGAGGGTGGATGGATGTCGCCAGACAAGGCAGGAAGGACTTTTTCATTAAATCCAACAAGAACGGAGTCCAGTCACTAGGGTGAGACATTAGAAACAACATTGGCATGCATTTAAACTGATATTTCATGATGATATTCGTAGAATATAATGATAAGAAGCAAAAACAAATAATGACTTCTTATGTTGCTGTGTTTATCTTACAGAAAATATCAAAGTGCTAATTCCTTTACAGTTTCCAGAGTGGCAGGTTTGTGATCATGTGATTCTTTCAACTATAAATATATTATATTTTATACAGAATTACTCATTATGAGCTGTGTTTGTTGACACTCGGTTTTCTGTCTTACAGTTAAAGCCATCACATGTGAGACCACAGTTGCACAACTTTGTCCTTATGAAAAGCCTGCGAGACATTGTCCAAGGTATGAACCTCTGGTAATGCGTCAGTCTCTTTGCCTAGACTCATGTCTATTCGAGTTGTCAGCACTGTCATTTTGTTGTATTTTCAGGTTATACTGCCCAAGAAACTGTTTAGAGGAGAATCCTCACATATCCAGAGTAATCGGTACCAAAATATACTCTGATGTAAGTCCATTTTTTTTTAGGCTGAATGTACCTGTTCACAGTTGTTTTTGCATGAATTTAGAGACAAAAATGAATCAGCATTTCTGACATTTTCCTACTTTTCCTCTGGTGTGATTCTGTAGAAGTCCAGTATATGTCGGGCAGCAGTCCATGCTGGAGTCATTAGGAATAATGTGGGTGGTTACATCGATGTGATGCCAGTGGAGAAGCGGAAACACTACATTGCCTCGTACCAAAACGGCATTGTCTCAGAGAGGTATGAGATGGCTAATATATACGTAACTAAGATGACTAAGTGGGGAGTATGTGTGTGTGTGTGTGTGTGTGTGTGAAGTGCCATGTGCAGTTTTTTTTCTGGAAACTAACATATTTAACTCTAAGTCATATTTTCACAACAAAAACCTCGTTTAAAACATATTGTCTCCTTTGTAACAACACTGAAGTTAATAGTGCCTTAAATTAGAAGAAACAAGTTCTATGTGTGCCACAATGTAATTTAGTTTAACAGAAATTAAAGCCCACTGTAACAAACAAAATGAAACATCATAGTATACTAGCTGTCTGGTATACTATTGTAGAGATAATTGTTTAGGGATTTCTGTCTCAAAACTTGGGAGGAAAGTGAAGAGGTTAATTCACTGGGGCCCAGACAGAAGGAGAAAGAAATCAATGGCTCTCAGGTAGAAAGAAATTTATCCACTCTGTCCTCCTTGTGGACCTAATCTTTTCAAGATGCAGGCAGTTCATTACATCTCTCATGCAGCGCACATGGGAAGGTAATTAACATGCTCCTAGTTTAAAATAATTAATTGCTTAGCAATTAGAGTGGAGAAGATGAGTGCATTTTTATGTACTTCTAAGAGTGGTGCGTTTTTTTTTTTGTGGTTGTAAGTCAGTAAGGACATCCAGTCGACAGGGGCGGAAAGCTTATTATAGTGGCTCAGATAAAGAATAAAACAAATAAATAGGGACACAAAGCAGTGAAAAGGCAAATCGTTTGCATTGAGGAAACTGGATCCTGTCAGCATTTATTGCAAAGACGATCGATTTTGGGTGCAATTTTGGATGGTTTTAGCTTAGTCTAAACAATAGGTGGATGAACCTAAGCCCAGTAAGATTAAGGAAAGAAAATGCAAAGGATATCATGAAGTCTTGTGTAAAACATCTTCCCATTTGTTTTGCAAAGACTTTATAAAAAATTCCTTACATAGTTCAACCTAAGCAAGTTACAATTTAGTAATTTTTGGAAGTAGGACTCCCCCAGACTGGGTCCTTTGACTGTATATAAAGATAGGAGAACGCTCCTAAATGCCACTCATAGTTCTCCTGAACAGCAGCGTGGTGGCTTCGGCCGTCACCGTCTTGGCAGTGTCGTACTCCTCCTAACTTGCAACTAATCCAAAAATGAGCAGTGAGGTGGGGTGAAAGTGGAGCTGAGATGGGCTATTTTATGACAGCACCCACCTGTCGCTCAAAGCAGCCCTAATTATCCATAATATTATGTTTTAATACAGTTTAAACAGACGGATTATGTAGACATTCACCCCGTACAGATGTCTTCAACAGAGAATTAGCTATAGAGACTAAAACCATTCTCAGTACCAGGCTGTAAACATGTTTATTTGTGCTGTAAAGTTGGGCCAAGGGGCTTTTGGAGCCAGCCTGTAACAAGACTGTAACGTAAACTTTGTAGGCACCAACTAATTAGGTTAGGTATAAGCTAAGCTCTGAATCGTTTCCACAAGTGTTCTGTTTATCTAAAGTAGTAAGAGTAAAGCCCTATTCAAATGAGACTAGTGTTACTCTTTGATTTCTAGTAATTTGTAATAATTGCAAAATTGTCGGTGATCTTAGTCCTGTGTAAAACTGCCATGCTTGTAATTTGGAATGTAAAAATTCCAATTCAAATCATCATATCTGACCAAAGATGAAATAATTCCTGTGATAATATTACTGCAAATTAGTGCCAATTGAATTGTGGAAGTAAATAAAAAATTTGGACTGTGCTGCACTTTGGGTGCCAAATCAGTCGGCTTATGTCACCATACAGCATGAAAACACGTTCACAGAAAGAGCAAGCTCAACTCCATTAGAGAAGAAAAGTCTAGAAAGATGACCAGATGGATGACATGTATGGCAGCAAGGGCTAAGGAACACTTTGCTGTCTTTCAACAGGCTCAGAAGTTATTATGTGGCAGCCTTCTAATGTCATATCCGGGGATAATGCCAGTAAATTCGAGACTTTGCTTATCTTGTGCAACTGCACCACACAAAACACAAAGTGGGGGTGCAATTTCTAAATTCCATGGAGTCTCCAGGTAATACTAGTCTCATATGAACAGGGCTTAAGAGTCGCTCATCAGGAGTGGGGAAACATTACTGGCTTACGCATCGGAACCCCTTCAAGCACCAAGTCACTGAGACTGTATTGACTCTGTAGATAATTTACACGAGGATATTTGCAAGTAAACCCAACGCACTTGAAATGAGGGGAAAGCTAAGCTTAGCAAAAGCTGAAAAAGATAAAAAAAATATATGTTACACACCCGCCCAGAGCAGCTAATCCGAGTTTAACAGTGTTGTACTCCGTCAAAGACAGCACCGAACACAAGCTAAAGCACCTCAACCAGGAAATAGCAGCTTTGAAAGTAGAGCACTTCATTGTCGACATAGTTGTGTGCATTTGCTTATATCACCCCACCAGTTTTTCCGTGTCTGCTCCAAAGAGGAGTGTTTGGAGTAGACTGGCCTGTTTTGGTGCCACGTGCGACGCCGAGTAGGAAACAAGAGACATCATCGCTTTGTACGGTGACTGTTGGAATGTTAAGGAGCTTAAGTCAGGCAATAAAGCACTCACCCAATTCAAATCTATGCTGTGTAAAAAAAAAACGTCTTTCTTCGTCCCGCTCTTCTGAATGAAGAGGAGCGAGCGGATGTAATGCGTGAGTCATGATACTCAGACTCTGATGTCTGTCTCTGATATGGAAGAAGGGACCGTTTTTTAATAAAACCGCTGCTCAGTCAAGACGCTGTTGATGCTTATAAAGTGTTGAATCCATGCTGTACCACCTTCCTACAGCATTAAGGTCACAGGTCCATACAGCTTCTCTTCAAAGTTTAAAGTGACCTACATACTGCATAGTCTGTTCCAGTTTATGAAAGATATTGAATCGCACCTACTTTGGATTGTTCTGTAGTCTGCAGAAAGACTATTGTGAACTATGTTGAGGTCCACAGTCTCATTTACTCAAAGGCCTTCCCCTTTCTCTTTTCATCTGCTCTCTCTTCTCTCGTCTGTCTCCACTTCATTTATCTTTATAACCCTGCTGAGACGCCTGACGTTTACCCATCATTTATCTGTCTGCTTTAACTTTGCAACATGTCTGTCTTTGTTGGATTAACACACGAAGTCCCCCTCCCGCATCTGTTTTCTCAGGTAACTCCAGCCTCTATCTTGTTTGTGTCCTATCTGTCATCGGGGTGTCAGACAACACGCAGACGTGGACACTTCTCCACAAAAAAAAGAAACAGTCTGTTTGTGCAAGCCTGTCATCTCCATCGCTCTGCAAAGAGGCCGAGACATGTTCTGTATCTCGACACATGCCGCGCCCGCCACTGACTCTCTCTCCCCCTCTCCTCTCCGCAGCCTTCAAAACCCTCCTGGAGGGAAGGCGTTCCGGGTGTTCGCCGTGATTTGAGTGCCCTGGAGGGCGGCTTCGCCAGACAAAAAAAAAGAAAGAAAAGAAGCGCACTTGGGCTGCTGAATAGGCGGTAATCAAGCCATGTTGTCAAAACTCAATGACTGAAATGCTTCTGGCTTTGCTACACTTGGAGGGTGAGAGGTCGTCACCATGACAGCGTAAACCCAGCAACAAAAACTTGACATGTACACAATGAGAACCTGTCTGTACTCACTCTCATGGAATTTTCCTTCTGTAAGCTTTAGCAGGACTTTTTTTTTTAAACTGTAAATATTGCTGATTATTTTGTTGTACATATTTATTAATAGTATTACACTTGTTTTTTATTTCCCCTTTGTGCCATTGTGTTGCCTTTTTTTGACAAATATTTGTGTATGATTATAGAAGTCCTATGATAAAACATTATAATGGCACTTAAGAATGAATACCATTTTTATTCTATTAATGTGGCACATTTTTTATTGGTGCATTGGAGCGGCATTTGTCATGTTTTGTACTTTTTAAAATAATGATTTGGTAAAGTTGTTATGCATTTATTTTTGTATGATTATGCTTCATATCAAAATGATTTGTAAAGGATGCTGCTATATGTTCTATGTATTGTTATTGTAATTGCCAGTCTGATGGGTTTTGCTTGTATTTTTCCAGATGATGTGGTTTTTTGTTTAAACTCCCTGCAGGTCGGGAAGTACACTCATCCATCAGAGTTGTCATTTTCTACAACAAAACCAATGTGCCTATGTGATGCAGCTTCTCCAAAGATATTGTCAGGTCATGTCCAATCGCCTCCCCTATAATTTTGGTAAACAGAAACAAGAATATGCAACAGTTACATTTCACACGTCATATAGACTGTTCACAGTTTCACCAGCTTTCTTTCAAGCTACAATCATTACAGTGGGCAATTAACTGTCATATTGTCTCTGTTTCTTTTTGCATTACATAGATTTTCCTACCTCAGGTTGTTGGGAAAAGTTCATTTTGCAATAAAACACTAGAATGACCACAAATGTCTCTCAGACATTTGCTTGCAGCATTTAAAGTCAATTCCATTGCCCTCGCATGTATTTAAAAGGACTTCTGCTTCTTCTAATCCATTGCCCCTAAATTTTAAATTCCATGAAAATGTATTTTTAAAAATTGCAAGTGTGGCATTCAGACTAACGCAACCACTGTGTTTTCCACTGAAAATCTGCGGTGTGGTCCTCTTAGCGTCCATCACCGGGGAGCAAAGTCGTCACTCCTCATTTGTTTCCGAGCAGCAGTGGAGCAAAAATGACCAGCTCATAATGGGTTCTACCATATCCATGTCCGACAGCGTTATGATGTCTGGAGGGCTGCAGTTGGTTGTGACTCAAGCTGCCACTCTCTGTTATTCCCCCAACAACTGCTACTAAATTCCACATGGTGGGCTGAATATATAGCTACAGGGGCTTATGACACCAGTGCAACAGGATATAAATGCAGTCTTGTTAAATTAATTGTCTTTATGTTAGTCAAGTGCATGTGTGTGGGAATGGTCATTATATATCTGTCTGCATTAGAAAAAAGTGTCACTGTGCTCACAGTCAGCTAATGATTGTGAACCAATGACATGTGGAGATATTTAAGAGATTGATATACTCTATTTTAACTACAGAGTTGCCCAAAACCTAAGAAAAGTGCTACTGTGCAGTGATACACTAAAACATGCACCTACAAGTTATGTTCAAATATAGAGCCAAGCAGGCTGCATATAGATGTGTTTATATGCATCTAATGTACATAAACCACCTCCTGTATGTACACACTGTAAAGTAAGATTGCATTATGAGATTATCTATATTTACTCCCACACACCTCTGCTGTGTTTGTATTTATATCTAGATTTTCTCTTCCTTGCACATCTAAACATATGTTTGGATTAAACTTGCTCTCTTGGGACTGGCTGAGCTCTCCAGGAGAAGAGGCTACGGGGAGATTGATAGGCCGTCCATGTCCACCCAGGTCCTGTGAGAGAAAAGAGAGGCATACATCAGACAGGTGTCAAAATTCGCAGCAGGATGCAGTGATCGGTGGCATTCAGAGGCTCTGAAGAATGAAAGGTAAGAGGACGAGCGGGATAGTGAAAGGGAGAAACCGGGGGGACGGAGGAAAGGGCAGAGAGATAACCTCAGGGTTTGAGGAAACAGCGTGAAGTTTTGATTTTCTGACACCCTTATGAGCATGACATTGGGACACCCTCTGCAGAGTTTCTCATCTTCTCATCAAGTTTCGAGGAAAAAAAAAAGTTTTGCAGCAGCACTTTTAGAACTTTGTTGGACACAGGTAGTTAAAAAAAAAATGCTGTGTGCTTTCAAATAATTAAAGAAGAGGTGCAACACATTAGCTGATAGAGATAAATTATTGTGTGCTTTCGCATGCAACCCACTGAGACTGTCCATTGGACCCACCAGACAGACGAGGATGCATTAGGAGCATACTGACAGAGCGACAGCCAAGGGCCCATTAGGACCAAGGAGACTGAGTGCCGTGAAGACAGATGGGATGAAAGACAAGCTTGCAGCTAGCGGGGTCTGCATGGTGCCACCAGTGTTTTCAGACTGTCGTTTAAAATAAGGAAGGCCATTAATAACCTCCTCACTGTGCTCTGCTCTGCTGCAGTCTGGCGCTTCTTGCAGAGCTAAATGTGGCGCTGCATGGCAGCAGACTGGCAGACTGTGTCAAAGAAACCATATATACCTGAGGAGAGGGAAAGAGAGATGAGAGATGCAGGCAAACAGACTGCATGTGCTTGTGCATTTGTTTGCGGTGTGTATGTGCGTGTATATTTGGGGCCTAATTGTATTTTTTTTACTTACTCACCTGTTTGTTTATGTCCTGGGTCTGTGCTGCCTGACCCACTATAGTTGGATGGGAATCAGATAGCGGTGATGCAGTCAGGGAGCCCGTCAGCACCGAATGAAAAGTTATGGTTGCCAGTGGTAATGACTGTGTTCCTTCTTGTCAAACCTTTACTTTGGCAGATGAACAAAACATAACATTTGACAGGGAGTGGGTTTTTTACCCTCATGATCCAAAAATATTACATGTACATAGCCACACTGTGAATGAGTTTTTGCAAAGATGGAGTGGGTACTTTGGTGGAGAAAAAAATAAGCTTTTCCTGAGTGGCAAGGTGACTCATATAATTATTGAGTTATTTTAGGCATATATGCTTTTAAAACAAACCTCTGACAAATCTTAGACATTTGATTTATAATAACCATTCATTACCAAATGGCTCTCGCGTGACCAACCCATCTAAGTACTTGACTGAAATTGAAAATCATAAGGCAAGTTTTCAAATTTGCTGTTATGGCTCATTCACTTAACGAATTCTCCTAGAATATGTTCAAATTGATACTTAAAATGTGTCAACGAGGAGGTAAAAGCGGATGGTTGGACCTGTGTGAAATGTTTTTGAGTATGTTTATGATGATTCCACCGTGAAACACATAAAAAAGGTTGTCTTTAAACTGCCCAGCAATGCTATCCAAACCTCACAATAGCTTTAGAGGAATATGTGACATGCCGAGATGAAGGCAGTGTTAGTTTACAAAGTCAAACCAGTGGTTGCCTTCATGTGAATAGCTATGCTGGTATGCTGCTGTTTATCTGTAATGGGAGCCTTTAGCGGCGCTTATTGTATCCTAGAACAAAATCGTGCCACTTGAGAGTGCTGCAGCAACACAATGTCAACAACTATGACTTGGCCGATGTGTTGTACCAGGTTAATTGCAGGGTGCTTTAACAGATCAAATACTCCCTCTGTCTTCCAATCCAACACAAATACAAGAGGCTTTCCACAAGAAAAGGTTCCTTTGTTTGACAGAAAATTAAGAAATGTGAGCTGTTGCTGCAGCAGGATTATTTTGTTCATGTATACTCAGGTGAGTAAACCAGATTTGGAGCATCTGGCGAAGTAATTCTTTACAGATCATGCTAAACACTACGCCGTGCTTGTACATATTTGCATGTTAGGTGCTGTGCTGTCTCTCATGGTTTTTCTCTGTTTTGTTCACTGGCATCACTGTATTCATATAGAGTGATTAACATTCATTCATCTTACTTCTGTCATGACAAGGCTACAGCTATATTTTCAAGTGCTTCATTGCCAAGGGGAAAAACCTGCACATCAGATGATTTATTGTCAACAATCTGCACCCATAAGACACCAATACTGACATTTGTTCCTGTATAAATCGGTGTCAGTCAGGCAGTTTTATGCTTTGCATGCAGATGTGGGCCACATGTAGACGTCTTTCTAAAACAAGCACTGTGGAATAGAGAAAATTGTGCTTACAGTACCTCTCCAGGATGGGCTGGCTGCCTCCCAGACTGCACTGCTGTTAGATCTGCACTTACAAACAAATAATGACAAGTCTGCATCAAATCTGGCCATTAAAAAAAGAAAGGCAAACTTCTCATTTAGAGAAGTATAAGTCTTCTTTTGTGAAACAATTTTAAGCCTGCCACTTCTCTCTAGTTACTTCCAAAGATCGATGTCTTACTTTTACATTGGATATTTGTACAAGTCAGCAGCTAAATGAGCAGAGGTTTCCTGTTTATCCTGCAGATATGGGTCAGTTGAGATTGCATTAATAATAAAAATAATAACAATACAATTTCTCATGAATGTGGCATCAGTCTTCACACACAAAGCCATGGATAATAGAGGAAATGGATTGAGTTTCAAAGAGCCCTGCCTATCTCAGGCACAATCTGACAATCTGTCAGTAAAACAAACACTTGTTTGCAAAGTGAAGGAAAATAAATGTCAGGAAAGAGCTGGAACAGAGGAAAGGATGCCTGCCAATACAACTAGAAACAGCCTGAAAAGCTACATGCAGTACAGTTGAGGGTCATTGCCAAACAATAAGGCCATGCATGGCAGATGGGCACACACACTCCTTTACAGTCAGTCATAATACAAGGAGAAGGAAGTGGGAGAATCTTGGGCCAAGGCCTGGAGGGCCTGGGGTGGTGGAAGAAGAGCGCAGCATGAAAAGTAAAAACTGAGAAAAACTCATGAAAAAATTCAGTTCATAGTAAACTACATCAAAAGGAATCCCAAAATAGGTTTGTTTTCAAGTTTTCTGCACAAGTCAGCAAAAATTATTCCTTTTGTAGCTGCCTGCAACACATGGAACGGCAGACAGACTTATGAGCAGTGGACAAACACAATTCTGTGACAGAAGTGCGCTGCTGTATTTGTACTGGGATCATGGTCAAGGTGCACAGAGTGCAAAATATAAAGAGCTGCAACGAATTGGGCACTGGTGATGGGCCA